ATAATCCCCAGCGGATGGTGGGGTCTCCTCACAGTGGGGGGGGGGGGTGGAGGGTGGCAGAGGAATCCAAAAGGAACTCGATTTCTGGGTTTGTATTTCAGTTCTGAAGGGTCCTGGTGGCATAGTGAGTTAAGCCTTGGGCTGCTAGCCAAAGGCTGGCGGTTTGAACCCACCAGTCCCTCCAGGGAGAGCGGTGAGGCAGACTGCTTCTGCTAAGGTTTGCAGTCCGGAAACGGGCTGGAGGGTCGCTGTGAGTCAGCGTCGTGGCTTGACGCAGTTCTGAGGTTCTTCCTGGCCAGAGCCCTGCACAGCCAGCTGAAGGGACACCTTGGCACCTAGCGCTCTGAATGTTAATGCCACTTTTGGAACAGGCATAGGAAAGCGCTGGGTCTTGGATCCTGAAACGACCCAGTAATTGGTCTCAGGGCGCGTCTCTGACCCTGACTGGGGCTCTTCCTCCCCGGCTCCTGGGGTGCCTGACAGGCGACATTTGTCACCCACACTTTTTGAGGTTGCTTTTTTGAGGAGGAGAGGGTTGTTTCTCCCAGCAGCCTTGGCTTCGGCAGAGCCTTGGAGAGAAGGGTCCCTGCTTGGACACCAGTGGTCCCTGGGGGCTGGGAGTCCGCAGAGGGGCTGCAGGCTGGAGGCTGGGATCCCTCTCCCTGTCACAGCCCCAGCACCTGCCATTCCTTCCCAGACCTGCCCCCTCACCAACTCCCAGTGGCTACACTGTGCCTGCCAGCTCCATGCACATGAAATGCTGGCAGAGGCCCTGCCGCCAAGCTGGTTCCCGCTCATGGCAACTGTCTGCTGTCTGTCTGAGCCCTGGTGGCCTCCAGGGGCCTCGTCGGTGGGGATATGTGCTGCTGACCCAGAATGGTACCTCTCTGGCCTCCACATCCACCGATGACTCCACGGGGGATAGATGGTCAGACCCCTCTGTGTGATTGCAGCCTCCAAAATCCCACTGAAGATCAGTTCTGACTCAACAACAATGAGATGGGGTTTTTTTTTAGTCTCAAGTCTTTATATGAGGAGACTAGTCACCCGTCTCTCTCTCTCTCTCTCTCTCTCTCTCTCTCTCTCTGTCTCAGAGAGACTGCTGGATTCAAACCACTGATCTTCTGGTTAACAGCACAACCCATAACTCACTGTACCACCAAAGCTCCTTAAAATTATGAAAGTATTTGGCATTAACAGGAGTTATAATAATAAAATCTAATTACTAGGGCACATAGAAGAGCCACTGGGACAAGGTGGGTACCTCTGTCCTGCCCAGGCAAAGTGTGCCCCCAACTCCCCAACGACCTCACTGTCTTCAGGTCACCATCTGCAGTCTGTGTAAAGGATGAAGTGAGGATGAACCAAAGGTTCCGTTTACAACCTTCTTAACTGCATTCTACTAAAGAGTTGTCCAAGCCGGCTGGATTTTGACAAGGCAGGCTGTGTCTGCTGTACCCCAAAGCACTCCCTCTCAATAGAGTGAAGAAAAAGTTCAACCAGATCTTCTGCTCCCACTTGTGTCTACTATGCCCCAAAGCATTCCCTTTCTGCTACTGAAGTATCAATATTGTGTCTACTATGCCCCAAAGCATTCCCTTTCAATTTAGTGAAGAGAAAAAATTTAGCCAGATCTTGGGCTCCCCCTCCCCAAACCCAAACCCAGTGCCACCAAGTCGGCTGTGAAGCCGAGCAAGCCCCCCATCCAGTTCTGAGGTTGAAAATCTTCACGGGAGACTGCCCCTCCTTCTCCCACAGAGCAGCTAGTGGGTTTGAACTCCAGACCTCTAGGTTAGCAACCCAGTACTTTACACGCTGTGTCACCAGGCCCCTTGGATCCTGGTGGAAGCAGCTTAGGGAAAAATACAGGTGCCAGGTGCTAGAGTCACGCCCGTCACCATGTGCTTATTCCAGGATCAGTTCTGGCACCTTAGTGTGTTTCCTGCTTCTTTCCTGCCAAGGGGTAAGACGGCACAATGGGAGTGGAAAAGGTCGTCTTCAGGAGACATCATTCTTTAAAAGCGTTTGCAGAGAAACGGTGTGGAAACTCCTATCTGCACACCCCTCACTTGCCACTCACTGTCCTGTCCTTAGCACTTTGCATGTGGACATTGGATACCATTGTTGTTGCTGTTAAGTGCCGTCGAGTCGCAGGCGACTCATAGCGACCCTATGAAGGAGTGTCTTTTCATCCTCTCTCTGGGTTCATAGGGTTTCCGGAGGCAAGCTATTATGGAAGTGGATGCCACTCCTCCTTCCAAGCCTGTTTTGATCGGGGAGCTCCACCCCACTCTCTGTCCACGTTTGTTGGATACCATTAGTGAAACAATATTGGGACTTCAGGATTCATTCAAGGAGCCCTGGTTAACCTATGCAATAAGCATTGAGTGGCTACCCCAGTGGTCAGCCGAAACCCTGTGGGGCAGTTCTCCGTCCGGTGGGGTCACTGAGTCCGAATGGACTGGAAAGTAGCTCTATTTCATTAGTCTCTAAAATGCACCGTTTAAATGAGGCTTCCCCCTTGTTTTGTACAGTCCTATCTGCCTCAATTCTGTGAAGTGTGAACCTGCTGAGAGCTGACCCTCCAGCTGGTCTCCGCAGCTGTCCACTGCACAGAGGAAATGCCCCATCTTTCTCTCAAGGAGCTGCTGGTGGATTCCAGCCATCAGAGAGCCTGCCCCTCCCTGTGGGCTCATCCACCAGAGCCCCTGCCAGTGTCCTACAGAAACAGCACGTCATCTCGTGTCTCCATTGTCACAGCATCATACAGAGAAGCCCCACTGTCTCTAAAAGCTGCCAGAGATCAATGCATTTCCAAACAGAGCACAGTGCACTTCCAAAGAGGTCTTTATCTGAGGGCAAACCCTGCAGTAGTAATCAGTGAGAAGTCACTCACTCTGCAAACTTGTGGTTCCTTAAGATGGCGATTGGAAAGGCAAGAACAGTGGCCTCTAGGCACACCAGTGGCCTGCCGGTTTTGCCTCCTTTGTGCCCATGGCTAGGTTCCCCTGCTCAGGAGCCTGTGACCAGGGCTCCAGCTGCCATGCAGCCTGCTGCTGTGACTGTCGGGGAAGCCCTTGGTTTTGATGTCCCATGTCTCCGTGTTAGCTTGCTTGCAACTCATCTTCCCTTTGAAACACCAGCACCAAGAACAAGACAGGACGCTCCCTGCTACAGGCATGTGATGTGCTGCCGCTCAAACCCTTCCCTGGGTCTGTTTCAGAATCTATAATAACCTGCCAGAAGTTAAAAAGAAGAAAGAAGAGCAAAAGAAAAGGGTGATCTTACAGAGTAACAGACTGCGAGCCGAAGTCTTCAAAAAGGTAGCTGGTTGTGCCCGCAGGTGGTGCCCCCTGGTGTGCCCACAGGCGTACCCTCAGGTGTGCCCCGGGTGTGCCCACAGGTAGTGCCTGTAGGTGGTGCCTGTAGGTGTACCCTCAGGTGAGCCCCAGGGTGTGCCCACAGGTGGTGCAAATAGGTGGTGTCTGCAGGTCTGCCCTTGGGTGTGCCCACAGGTACACCCACAGGTGGTGCTCCCAGGTGCACCCATGTTGTTATGTTGTTGTTCTGTGTCGTCGAGTCGCTTGCGACTCATAGCAACCCTATGTACAACAGCCCTAAACTCTGCTCTGTTCTGTGCCAGTCACACTGTCTCTGACACTCCCATCCCGATTACCCCAGTCATAGAATCAATCCACCTCATAGGGGGCCTTCCCCTCCTGCGCTGTCCCTCCACCCTCCCAAGCATGATGTCCATCTCCAAGGACCGGTCTCTCCTCACAACATGGCCAAAGTATGTTAGACGGAGCCTCAGAATCCTTGCCTCCAAGGAGCCTCCCGGTTTAACCCTTTCCAGGACAAATCTGTTTGTTTTCCTAGCAGTCCATGGCACTCTCAGCACTCTTCTCCAGCACCACAGCCGAAAGGCATCAATTCGCCTTCTATCCTCCTTGGTCATTGTCTAACTCTCTGATGCATAACAAGTGATTGCAAAGACCATAGCCTGTATCAGACACACCTTAGTGTCCAGAGAGACACCATTGCTCTTCAGTACTTCGGAGAGGTCCCTAACAGCAGACTTTCCCATGGCAATGCGCCTTTTAATTTCCTAGCCGCTGGTGCCAAGGTGCACCCATAGGTGGTGCCAATAGGTGGTGCCTGCAGATCTGCCCTTGGGTGTGCCCTCAGGTGTGCTCCCGGGTGTGCCCACAGGTGGTGCCCTTGGGTGTGCCCTCAGGTGTGCTCCCGGGAGTGCCCGCAGGTGTGCCCGCAAGTGTGCCCTCTGGGGCAGTGTCCAGGGCTGGCATGAACCCCACGGCTCTTTCTCTGCCTCTGCAGCAACTTCTGGACCAGCTCCTTCAGAGGAACGCCGTGTGACGGTGCCCTGCAGGCCACGTGCGGGCGGGGTTGACTTCAGACACCGGACAGGTCATTAAATTTCAGGTTATCTTCATTCTACAAAAGCACTTCATCTGCTGTTGATTTTTTTATGGTCTGGAAAGGAAAACTTAGCTTCCTGAATTACCAACTCAAACCACACAGACGGACAGCAAGCCTGCGGCCAGCCCCCCCAGTCAACCCCCCAGCACAACCCCTTCATCTTTTACCTCTGATTTGACCCCTGATATCTAATCACCCCAAACCCCCTCCCCTCTCAGGCCATGGGACCTGACATGCTCACATGGCCTCCATCCCTGAAGGACATTTTTTCATCAAATTCTAGGAATCAAAATCCATCACTTTCTTAGCACCACTCCCATCTCCTTTAAACATCAGAGTCCTGGGCCCTCCTGCACTTGGCAGCCCTGCCTCGGCTTGTGCACCACAGATGCCTGGCACAGGCTTTGGGAGGAAGTGGCTGCCTTAGTCGAGACCAGGGAGTGAGCGGTCTCCTGCTATGTCCCCTGCTGTGGTCATGGCTGCCCCAGCACCCACCCATGCATGGGACCCTCTTCAGAACTGGAGTGCCTCTCTGAATGGGAACAGCCAGGGCAGAACTGGATGCATGAAAGTACAGGGGACACTGGTTTCCCACTCTGCCCCCAAAAAAGCTGTGTAGCTAAAACCACCTGGGTGGCTCCAATTCTGCAGTCTGTCCTCTAAGATCATCATAATGTGATGGCCACTATTTGTAAATGTGTGTTTGGGAGTAAGAGCACTAGCTTTTAACAACAAACATGGAAATAAATATGACTATGAAAAATGATTCTTCAGTCTTCCTTATTCATTGTCCAACTTTCACATGCATATGAAGCAGTTGAAAATATTGTTGGTTGTGTCAAGCACACCTTAATCTTTAATCTGACATCCTTGCTCTGTAGCACTTTAAAAAAGTCTTAACCATTTGATCAATGCAAAGTGTTTGTGGCTCTGACTGCTGCTTCCATGAGTGTTGTGTATGGATCCAAGTCAACACCCTGGGACTGGGTATTGTTGTTGTTGAATTGTTGTTATGTGCTGTCCATTCGCCTGTGACTCATAGTGACCCTAGACACAATAGCTCTGAAGCCTGTCCTTCCCTGAGCCAGTCACTGACTCCGACACACCTATCACCATTACCTCAGTTACTGTGTCAGTCCATCTCATCCTGGCTGACAGTAAGTCCAAAGTGTGTCAGCCGGAGCTCCAGGTGCAATTATAACAACAACAGATGTGAACCCTGTCCTGTCCTCATCATCTCTGACACATTGCTGCAGACCCTTTGTCAATCCATCTCAGTGAGGATCTTCCTCTCTCTCGCCAACCCTCTACCTTTCCAAGCTTGATATTCTCCTCCAAGAAATAGCCTCTCCTAGCAACATGCCCAAAATATGTGAGATAAAGTTTCACCATGCTTGTCTCCAAGGAGCAAGCTGACTTCACTTTCATTTTTCCCAAGACTTATCTATTTGGATTCCACACCCCCACCCCCGGCAATCCACGGGATATTCTATATTCTTCTCCAGTCCCACGACCCAAAGGCATCAGTTCTTCTGTCATCCTTATTCTCTGTCCAGCTCTCAGATGCATAGCAAGTGATTGGAGAGATGGTGGCCTGACTCAGGTACTCTTTAGTCTCCAGACTGACATCATTCCTCCTCAGTCGTTTAGAAAGATCCCTACAGCAGATTTGCCGAGTGCAATATATCTCCTGATCTCCCAACTGCTGTTAGGCAGTGTTGATTGTGAAATCATTGATAATTTCTATCTTTTCTCCATCTATCAAGACGTTGATAGATGACCTTCGTCTTCTCGATGTGGAGACTCACGTCTTTTGTCCTGTGTATAAAGTGGATGGATAGGTGCTCCCAGGAGCGTCTGAACTTCATGATCGGGATTGCCAGGGCAAGAATGAGTTACGTAGGTAAGACCCATCAGCCCTGGTGTGTGCTGGGCACAGACTTGTCTGCTCACTCTCCCCGACGGGGTGGGTTGTGGGGAAGCCTCTGCTTTCTTCTCTCATGTTCTCCTCCTTGTAGAAACCATCACTGCAGTTTCAGGAAAATAACACATGTGTTCTATGGCCCTTGCAAACCACAGCTGCCATCACATTAGTTTCCTGTTCACATTGTGTGTTGCATGGAGAGTGTGTGTGTGTGTGCAGTTGTTTGCTGAAGAATCTGGAATAGCAACCTGGTCCGCTAACTTCATGTCTGAGACATGAAGTTAAACTGAGTACGAATCCTCTAGGAGAGACTGCGCTGACTTTCTGTTTATTTTTAAGATTCTTTTTTTTTAATAGTCCAATCTGTGATATCAGCTAAGAGCCATTTTTATATAAAGATCCTGACACAAGCTGTTTGTTTTTCCAGGATCCTTAGAGAATTCCCCAAGCCCTTCCCTAACATTTGAATGCAGGGCCTGACTCCTTTGAGACTGTTTCAGGACACCTTTCAGGAAGTGAATTTATGTCACTAAAGTTCTCTCAGTCCTGGGGAGCTCTGGTGGCCGAGTCCATGCAAGTGGTGCTGCTCGTACTAAGGAGCGAGGCTGGGCTGGAACCCGGTGCAGAAGTGCCTGCAAAGAGCTCACCTCCTATGCAAACTGATGGCGAGTCTTAACATCTCCGGAATCAACAGAGGAGTCTGAGCTGGAGCGAGAAGACAGGGAACCACCTCCTGCCAGATAGTCTACACTGACCCCTTGGATTTGCATAAATCTTTGTAAGAAGAGACGGAGTGGCTGGTGGAATTGAACCACCAGTCTTCCATTACCAGCACAACACTTAACACCTTCCAACAAAAGGGCTCCGTGAACTGAGTAGCTGTTGTCTGTTGCCTCGCTTTGTTGAGTTCCCCAAGGGCTCATAGTGACTCTGAACAACAGATCTGAGCTGGGTCCTGGCCTGGGTCAGCCTTACCATCTCAGATAGCCTCAAGTCCACTGGAGTGGTCAGTCTATCTTGTTGAGGGTCTTCCTCTCTCTCTCTGATTCTCCCTCTGTCCAGCATGGCTTCCTTTTCCTAAGACTGGCCCTCCTGACAGTACACTCAAGTACGTGAGGCAAAGTTTCCCCATCCTTGCCTGGTTACACTTTCTTCAAGATGGATTTGTTCATCCTTCTGACAGTCCATGCGACGGTCAGGACTCCTCTCCAACACTGCGGTTCAAACTCTTCTGCTCTTCTTCTGTCGTATCTAATCATTGTCTGGCTTTCAGAGGTATAGCTAGCAATTGAAAACACCATGGCTTGACTCGGGGGGAGGGATTGTATAACAATGAAAGAATTAAAAAAAAATTTACTTTTCAAAGAGAAGAGTGAATTGGAAGGTAAGGGTGGGCAGGGGAAAAAATGCAATAATGAGTGAATGGAAATCCAAAGTCTCTGTAAACGGTAATGAAAAATAATAATAATAATAAGAAGAAGAAGAAGAAGAAGAAGAAAAACATACCATGGCTTGGATTGTTGTTGTTGTGTGCCATCATGTCACCCGCGTCTGAGCCTTCTGAGGCTTGGATTAAGTGCACCTTAATCTTTACACTGACATCACTGTTCTTTAGCATTTGGAGAGGTCCTTAACGACAGATTTGCCCAATACATCATGTCTTTTGATGACTGCTGTTGCCACGAGTGATGATTGGGGATCCGAGTGAAATGAAATTGTCGAGTGGTGGTGTTGTTGTTAGTTGCCTTTAGTTGGAACAAACTCACAGCTGACCCTCCAGCAGCTTTTCAGGGGCTGTAAAAGGCGTGGAGGGAGATTACGCATCTTGTCCCTCAGAGCAGCTGATGGATTTGAACTACTTGCCTTTGGATAGGCAGCACAATTCCTTAGCCCTGGACTACCAGCGCTTGCTGAGAGGAGTGGTGGTTATTGTTATTAGGTGCCATTGAGTGCGACTCATTGCGACCCTGTGAACGACAGATCTGAACCCAGTCCTACCCTGAGCCTCCTCACAATCTCTGACGTGCTCCAGGCCACTGCTGCAGTCACTCTGTCACTCTACCTGGTTGAAGGTCTTCATCTCCTTCGCCGTCCCTCCACCTTTCCCAGCATGATGTCATTCTCCAGGGAAAGTCCTTTCCTGGCAACATGCCGTAAGTATGTGGAAAGAAACTTCATTTTTGCCTCCAACAAGCATTCTGGAGTCACCTTCTCCAAGACATTGTCTGTTCTTTTGGCAGTCTGTGGGATAGTCAGTACTCTCTGTCAACACCACGACTTAAAGACATCAGTTTTTCTTCTGTCATTCACTGTCTAGCTCTCAGATGCAGAGCAAGTAATTGGAAAGATGGTCATGGTCTGAATCTGGCCCACTTTTGTCCTGAAACTAACTAATATCCTTGCTTCTCAAGGACCTTTAGAGAGGTCCCTGACTGTGGACTTTCCCAGTGCTGTATGTCTCCTGACCTCCTGACTGCTAGTGCTAATTCTGGATTCAAGTAAGATGAAATCATTGACATTTTCAATCTTTTCTCCAGCTGTCATGATGTTGCCTATTGGTCCAGTGGTAAGAATTTTGTTTTCTTGATGTTGAGATATAATATTGGAGGCTGCACTGTTTGAGCTTCTGCAGCAACTGTTTCAAGTCCTCACTGTCAGCAGTCGAGGTTGTGCCATCTACATACTGAAGGTTATTGATGAGTCTTCTTCTAATCCTGATGCCACAATTCCTCTTCGCAGAGTCCAGCTTCTCAAAGAATTTGCTCAGCATACAGATTGCATAGACATGGAGAAGGGATACGACCTTGACGCATGCATTTCTTAATTTTAAATCATGCAGTGTCCCCTTGCTCTGTTTTCACAGAAGCTTCTCAGTCTAGTATAGGTTTCACATGAGTCAATTAAATGTTGTGGGATACCTGTTCTTCTCAATATTGGCCATAATTTGTTACGATCCACATTAAGTTCGTGTTAAATAAGGACTTGGTGAGAAGAATCAGGCTGGAAATAGAAA